ATTTATACTTAAGTTATGGTCAACACCGGCCACAACCTTCACTACCCTATTGTGGATACTTCTCATGTGTTCCTGAAAACGTGTAAATCCTATGAATATGTGTTTACAATACAAGCATTTATAGTGTATTTCCTTTGCAATCGGTTTTGAATTAACTTCATCACTGATTAGATGTGTTTTTAAGTGTATTTCGAGATCTTCTTTAGTGGCAAAGAGTTGTTCACAAGAAATAAAACTACAAATAAAGGGAATCACTGAATGTATGCCAATCATGTGTCCGATCAGTCCTTCCCTATCGGCTGCCAGGAAATGGCAGTCTTTTAACAAACATTTAGAGCCAACACATCCCGAGGAATGGCTTTTGGTGTGAATATCTAAACTGAGTTCATTTTTAAACCTATTCCCACAGCCGTTATAATGACAAACAAACGTTGAAACCGTTTTCTTGACTGGTCTTATGGTGCGATCATTTGAGTCATTCACTGAACATTTCAATTGTTCTCGCGATGAATGACTTTCATTATCATATTCCCACAGCCGTTATAATGACAAACAAACGTTGAAACCGTTTTCTTGACTGGTCTTATGGTGCGATCATTTGAGTCATTCACTGAACATTTCAATTGTTCTCGCGATGAATGACTTTCATTATCATTGATTGGGTGTGTTTTCGTGTGTATTTCGAGTTCATCTTTAGTGGTAAACAATTGTCTACAAGATGTGAGACCACAAGCAAAGGGAATCATAGAATGGCTGCCAATCATGTGTCCAATGAGTACCTTCTGATCCATTGACACGAAATCGCAATCTTTTAACAAACATTTGATTGAATCAATAGATCCCGAAGAATGGCTTTTGGTATGAATATGTAAATAGGCTTTCGTTAAATTCGTAGTCTCTGTAGTAATGATCTCATGTCTTGTGCCCGCTTCAGGGGAATGCGTCTTCGAGTGGATATCCAACGATTCTTGACTGGAATACCCTTTCCCGCAGTCATTGTATTCACAGTTATATAACACAAGAGTTATGAATCCGGTTTTGTCACTCATTTGAATCAACTGTTGATTACATGCCATAGACTTCAATATTCCCACAGCCGTTATAATGACAAACAAACGTTGAAACCGTTTTCTTGACTGGTCTTATGGTGCGATCATTTGAGTCATTCACTGAACATTTCAATTGTTCTCGCGATGAATGACTTTCATTATCACTGATTGGGTGTGTTTTCGTGTGTATTTCGAGTTCATCTTTAGTGGCAAACAATTGTCTACAAGAAGTGAGACCACAAACAAAGGGAATCATAGAATGGCTGCCAATCATGTGTCCAATGAGTACCTTCTGATCCATTGACACGAAATCGCAATCTTTTAACAAACATTTGATTGAATCAATAGATCCCGAAGAATCACTTTTGGTCTGAATATGTAAATAGGCTTTCGTTATATTCGTAGTCTCTGTAGTAATGATCTCATGTCTTGTGTCCGCTTCAGAGGAATGCATCTTCGAGTGGATACCCAACGATTCTTGACTGGAATACCCTTTCCCGCAGTCATTGTATTCACAGTTATATAACACAAGAGTTATGAATCCGGTTTTGTCACTCATTTGAATCAACTGTTGATTACATGCCATAGACTTCAACACATCTATTGGAAGAATAAATTGAGTGATTCTTTGGGTCTGTATTCCAATCACTTCTTCTTCTTTACAATCAGTGGTTTTGTTTGCTTCAGAGGAATGTGTTTTCCAGTGATTATCCAACGAGTCTTTACTCACAAACCCTTTCACACAGTCATTGAACGGACAGTTATATACCGCAAGAGATATGAATCCGTTTTTACTAATCAATTGATCCAATTGTGGATTACTTGCCATAGATTTAAGTACAGCTAATGGGAGAATCAATTGAGAGGTTCTTTGCCTTTGGTTTTCAATCACTTCTTCATTACTATCATTATATATGTTGTCATCGAAGCTGTAATCCATTGTCTCGTCATCTGAGGAAATCTCTTCATTCGTGTCATTCCGTACTTCTTTGACATCTTGTGGTAAGTGTTGACTCTTGAGTTGATTGTAGTTATGATTGAATGTAACTTACCAAACATAATTCACAACTAAAAGTAGCGTAAATGAGTTTTGTATCAAAACTAATGGTAACAAAGATTACAATAGGTTTTATGTGTGTTTAACAGAGAGTTAAACATAATGTAAATTTTCAGAGAATAAAAGAAGTGAGTTGAGAAGGTGGTTTAGTAACTAGTCATAAAGTCTGTAACAAAACATAATCTTCAGTCAAATGAACACTAAATCTACGGTTAATTGCATTCAAAATGCAAATCAAATTCACTTCACATTCAGTTTCACTGTTTGTCAACAAATGCACGACTTTTGCATATATTTCACACAAATTATGTTCAAAATATCAAAATTCTGATCATAAGTGTAAAGAACTTTAAAAATTCAAAGTTTTAAATAAATTAAAATATATTAATAAAATACAATAGGAATTAATATCAGTTATATGAAATCTGATATTTTATAAAATAAATATATTTATTTATAAAATGTTTAAATAAAGTAATAATATAACACTGTAATTATTAAACATGTAAGTTAAATTAATAGTCAATTAAATAAATATTTTACGGCACAATCATATTCAATACAAACTTATAACATATCAATCATTGAATACTATTTCGCGAATGAATTAATGAATGTTTATTGAAATCATTTTTGCGGACAAACCGTTTGCCACATCCAGACCACTGACAGGTAAACCAATCGACGTCTCCAGTGGTTCGGTAGTGTTTGACCATATGTTTGGTCACATTTCCCTTTTCAAAGCTACTGTACCCACAGCCCTCGACCTCACACTTAAACCGTTTAACTCCCGAATGTATCCTCAAGTGCTTCTCCAAGCGATCCCTATATATGAACCGTTTGTCACATCCGGGCCAATGACACGGAAATCTGGGTTCAATGCTATGCTCTTTGTGGTGACGTTTCATTATCCTCTTGAGATGACACTTGAACTCACAGCCGGGCCACTCGCACACCCGTAATATACCCTCGTCATTGTGTTTATTGCGACGGTGGGCGCATAAGACACTGGAACTATTGGCTGTATAGTCACATCCAGGCCATAGGCACCGATACACCTGACCCTCACTGTGTTTACTAATGTGTGTATCCAATGACTCTTGGCTCGCATACGAGTAATTACACCCTTTTCGCGGACATTGGAAGTAATCGATGCCATCTGTGCCGTGAATACGGGTCTTATGATTCATTAACTCACTCCTACTTTTAAACCGTTTGTCGCAGTCCTTGTGATCACAAACAAATGGTCTCTCATTTGTGTGAGCGGTTTGTATGTGTTTTCTGTGGCCATCCCTACATTTAAATCGTTTACCGCATGACTCGTGTGGGCACTGATAGGGCCGGTCATCGCTGTGGCTAACCATATGATTCTTGAGGTAATGGAGTTCACTAGTCATGAAATCGCATCCATTGACAACACACGCGTAACACATCCCTCCGTGGTATCGATTGGCGTGATTCCTGAGGGCGGGTTTGGTCTGAAACTGTTTGCCACAACCAATTGATTGACATTTGAATACTTTTAAATGTATTGAATTTGTATGAAATTCAAGTTCCCATTCGCTGGCAAAAAGTGGTCTAAAACACGACTCATAACTGCACTCAAATATGGCATCAATTTTGTGATCCCTTTCCATGTGTTCAATGAGTTCTTTCTTATCTCTCGATGTAATCTTGCAATCAATGGCCAAACATTTAATCCAATCTCTAATTCCGTGACTTCTCATATGTTGTACTAAACTTTTTTTACAATTAAAACTTTTATCGCAATTATTGTCTTCACAAACAAATCTCTTTAAAACATTTTTGCCATTCATTTGATCCGTTGTCTCATTACATGTCATAGACTTCGACACAACTGATCGGGTTTTCAATCGTTTGGTCTTTTGGTCCACTTTTCCTTCAATAATGTCTTCGGGTTTATACGAGATATCACTGCAGTTGTCATCAATGGTGTCATCACTCGAGTCACTCATGTCTTTATCCATTTCACGGGTTTTTGTCTTACAGTTAACTCTCGATCTCTTCCTCTTCTTCGGTGAAAGTGTTGTCTCTTTAATCGGTTGAAGACATCCATCACTTCCTTTACTATCTCTCGAATCGCATAATGTCTTGTAATTGGTGTCCAACTGATCCAACAAATCAAAAGTCTGTTTATTTTGATCACAAAAACAATTGGTTTTCAAATCCAATGAATATTTTCGCAAATTTTCTAACATTTCATTCAATTGTTTAAATCCTTAAGAATTGTCTTTAAATTCAAGATTTTATTCAAATATAGTTTGCATTCAATTAAGACATGAAAGCATTCATTCAAAACCAATAACTCATTGAATAGTCGACTGTTTTCTTCACTCAACTCTTCCACCAAATCATTGATCAGTATTTCAGACATTGTTTTCCTAATCTTCAGTCAAATGAACACAAAATCTACGGTTAATTGCATTCAAAATGCAAATCAAATTCACTTCACATTCAGTTTCACTGTTTGTCAACAAATGCACACATTTTGCAAACATTTCACACAAATTATGTCTAAATATCAAAATCTTTATTTAAAAATAATGTAAATTTGATAGACTTTTATGGAATTTAAATAAATAAATCACAAAATAATGTATTATATAAGTATAAACTTAGTAATAATCAGACAACGAATCCGTGGATCAGTCTCTTATGGGTTCTTAGGGCTCCTTTATATTTAGTGCTAAACTGACAGCCCTTCCAATCGCAAGGAATGGGAGGACCCGAGTGTTTAATCATATGTTTCTTCAAAAGCGTGTCCGTCATAAACCGTTGGCCACATTCAGGCCAAACACAGGCGTGTTGTCGGTCTGTGTTATGATAACTCATGTGAGTCTTAAGACAGTTCGTCCGATTGGTGCGGTACTCACAGCCCGGCCACTCACAGGCATACCGGTGCCCAGTGCTATGCCGTTGTCTCGTATGATTGCCGTATATACAGCCCAATGTACACCACATGAGTGTCGGCCCGGTGAGCGTGCGCATGTGGACTAGGCTCACGAAGGTGGCCACTGATAAGTCACTCCTGAGTGAGAATATGCAGTCTGGTGTAGGGGGTTCCTCACACTTATATAGTCGTGTCGTATGGCAACAGTTTATGTGTTGATAGAGATAGCGTTTAAAAGGAAACCGTTTATTACATCCGTTATAATCGCAAACAAATGGCTTATCGATTATGAAGGTCTTTGTCTTGAAGTGACTACTCGTATGGTTTCGCAGATTATTTTTGTGGTAAAACCGTTTACCACACGACTCATGAGTACAGACATAGGGTTTAACGCCATTGTGTTTATTCATATGCGCTTTCATAAGATGGCGATGAATACAGCTATAGTCACACCCATTGACCGTACATTTGAATCGTTTGTCCACAGAGTGTGTGAATCCATGTATTTTACAGTTAATGCTATGTCTGAAGACTTTTCCACAACCAATGAAATCACATTTAAATGTCTTCAGAGATGAAGTCTTTTTATTTGATCCCATCTTCAGTTGTGTTTCGTTTGAATCGCTATTTCTCTTCCTATTCCTCTTCAGTGAAGAAGTACTCAATCGTTGATTACTTTTCACACTTTTTGACACCAATTCTGATTCAATTGATTCCTCACAAGTGCTGACCTTTTGTTTACGTGTAGTCTGACGTGTCTTCGGATCCAATTGTTTCTCAACTTTTATGCGTTGAGTGAATGTCTTGTACTCGATGTCCAACTGATCCAACAAATCAAAAGTCTGTTTATTTTGATCACAAAAACAATTGGTTTTCAAATCCAATGAATATTTTCGCAAATTTTCTAACATTTCATTCAATTGTCTCTCAAATGATAACTCTCACATGGAAAGGGATCACAAAATTGATGCCATATTTGAGTGCAGTTATGAGTCGTGTTTTAGACCACTTTTTGCCAGCGAATGGGAACTTGAATTTCATACAAATTCAATACATTTAAAAGTCTTTTATTTTCTTCACTCAACTCTTCCACCAAATCATTGATCAGTATTTCACACATTTTTGTGATTCAATAAAACTTAACTTTAATTGCAATTTTGAATTTCAAAACAACTTTCAATTCAATCAAATGCTTACAATTTTGTAAACAAACTCTAAACAAACACAATCCATAGAAAATGTCTCTAAAATACAAAACTAATAAAACTTTTTAAATGAGATTCTTAAATAAAATGCAAATACAAACTCATTTATTACAAATTTACAATTAAATTAAAGCTTATTACATTTAAAAATACTTATAAATACAAATGCAAAAACATTCAATTATACAAAATATTACCATTAAAATGAATATACAATCCACTGAATTGAATACAGAGCAAGAGATTCAATATTTGTATATCACTCCACAAATTGTTAAACTTTGAGATTATCAATAGTTAATTATCTATATAATTGTCTCAAATTATATAATGTACCATGCACGTACGTATGAATTTAATAAGTAGTTGGGATTAATAAATAGTTCCCGCACAATGCTAAATTCTTATAGTAAGGCACACTCATAGGAGGTGGAGGGCTGGGAGGTGGACAGATAGCTAAACAATCCATCCGGGATATGGGCATCGGGAAGGTCTAGCCTCTTGTGGTATCAGTTCCGGTGATGACATTGCCATTTGTCGCGTCATAACACAATTACCCAGACCACTTCGAGTCGATTCAATGACACCACTCATACTCTGCGTTAAATATAAAAATGTATGAAATACTGAAATATAGTATCCATTGCTTACCAATAATTTATTCTCGGCTTTGAGTCTCTCGTTCTCATCCCTAAGACTTTGATTCATAACCAATAGATTGTCGACACAGTTGTGTTGACAGTCGCTATCAATAGTGAAGTGACAGGTCCTACACCTTCGGCTCTCATCGTAATCGCAATCCCTTACGTGTTGTGCCAATTCACTCAATTTGACCACTGATTGACAACCATTTACATAGAAATCGCACTTTACTTTCATATTATTCAGTAAATTAATGACAAATCTTGGCGCCGGACCTATCCCTTCTCGACCCAATTGTGTCCGATCATTAGGACAGGTATTGTGGTCTGAGAGCCACCATTGAATACATTCACTGCAATAGGATTGTTGACAGCATTGGGTGACCACTGGGTTGACGAACACCTCCAGACATATACCACATATGAATTGATCCAATTCCTCATCGGATACACCGACCACTCGACTCCTATCAATACCAGGCATTCGTCGCACAAAATATGTTTATAATTGTGTTGTTTTGAAATAAATGAGTTAAATAACCAGTGAGAGTTTATTATATATTTAATATATACGATAAATCTATTTATAATTAATATGACTCATGAGTCATGATAATATACAGTACTGTAAGTGTGAGACATAATACAGTATTCTTTCACTATTGGTAAGCAATTCTTGTATTCCTTATATGGGTTTACGAGACGTTTTGCATACATTTTACATAAACTTTGTCATTAATTGTCTAAAACTTATTTTTAATATATTTTTTAATTTGAATTATATTTATTAGAAATAACAAATAAATTGAATACAGTAAGTGTTTAAAGTTAAATATAAAAACTGTTTAATCCAATATCATAAAGCAATTATCGACATTCAGACAACTTATCCACTTCTTACTGCCGACCTTGGACTGTCTGGGACACCTAAAGTAGGAATATATGACATCCCACTCATTCACTTTATGTGCGTCTATTAAAAACTGTACAATAATTACATCTCATAAATGCTAACAAATGCATTCAATTATCGTCATTATGTCGGCTCTTCTTATGTTTCCTTAACGTCTGTTTGTCTTTCGTCTGAAACGGACAGCCCTTCCGATCGCAGCTCAACATCACCGACGAGTGGGTAATCATATGCTGTCTGAGACCGTGTGCGGTCTTAAACGCTTTGTCACAATGAGGCCAATCGCATACATGCGCCCGAATGTCGGTGTGAGTGGTTCTATGGTTATCCAAATTAACTTTAATCGGTGTCCTGAACTCACATCCGGGCCATTCGCACACATACTTCGCCGGTTCACCGCCGCTATGCTTGAATCGATGCCTCCGTAATTGACTCGTGTATCGGGTCGTGAACTCACAGCCGGCCCACTGACAGGTCAACACTCGACCCGAATGCTGAGACAGCTTATGATGACTCAGAGTTCCAATGGTCCTGTAGGCCGCCCCACATCCCGGTTCCGGGCACTTGTGTTTTCTGCCGACACTCGTATGAGTGACTTTGTGTTGCCTCAAGAGGTTTGGAGTATTAAACACTTTATTACATCCGCTATAATCGCAAACGCATGGCTCGTTTGCCGAGTGAACATCACGGGTGTGCGCGTGGAGAACATCTTTACTGCCATACCATTTACCACACCACTCGTGAGGGCACTGATAGGGTCGGACACCTTTATGTCTATTCATATGGGCCTCCATTTGGGATTTATGCTGAGACTTGTACTCACATCCACTGACATTACATTTGATTTTATGTGTATTTCTGTGCTTCTTTTGGTGTCTAATTAACAGATGTCTATTAGAAAACTCTTTACCACAACCGACATAATCACAAACGCATGACTCAGGGGACGTGATATGGCTTAGGGTATGGCTCTCCAGCACTTTTCTGCCGCAAAACAGTTGACCACAACCCGGTTGAGTGCACTTATAGGGTCTGACGCCGTTGTGTTTATTAATATGGGCTTCTAATTGATATTTATCCCGACATTCATAATCGCATCCATTGACTGAACATTTCATACGGTTATGATTTTTATGACATCTTTTGTGTTCAGTTAATTGTAGTTCATTTGGGAACTGTTTATTGCAATCGGGAAAAAGGCAACTGTATATACTGTGATCAGCACACATGTGTTCCCAACGCTTGTAATTGCTGATAAATCGTTGGACACAACCCTCATGAGTGCACTGATAGGGTTTGACACCGCTGTGTACGTTCATGTGGGCGTCCATCGTGTCCCGCTTGGCACACATCAATTGACAGCATTTTATTGAACATTTCAATTGTTCTCGCGTTCAATGACTTTCATAAACAGTTTTATTTGTATTATTTGTCGTTTTATCGCTATTTCTTGAATTATCACTCATTCGGTGTGTCTTCGCGTGTATTTCGAGTTCATCTTTAGTGGCAAACAGTTGTCCGCAAAAAGTAAAACCACAAAGAAATGGACTCATTGAATGTGTGGCAATCATGTGTCCGATCAGGTCATTCCTATTGGTTGTCATAAAAATGCAGTCTTTTGACAAACATTTAGAGCCAAAGTTTGCTGAGGAATGGCTATTGACGTGAGTTATAAACAACTCTTTCGTCTCAAATCGTTTCTCACAGTCTTTCAAAAGGCAAATAAATTTGGGCACAGTTTTCGTGTTTACGCCAACTTTGGCACAAATTCTGTGATCATTACGCATGTGATCCCAAAGTCTGTAATTGCTGTTAAATCGTTGGACACAACCCTCACGAGTGCACTGATAGGGTTGGGCGCCGTTATGATTGTTCATATGTTCATCAAGTGTTGACTGCAATACACACTCGAAGTCACAGCCATTTACTGAACATTTCAATTGTTCTCGCGATGAATGACTTTCATTACCACTGATTGGGTGTGTTTTCGTGTGTATTTCGAGTTCATCTTTAGTGGTAAACAATTGTCTACAAGAAGTGAGACCACAAACAAAGGGAAATACTGAATGACAGCTAATCATATGTCCGATCAGTTCATTCCTATCGCTTGACACGAAATCACAGTCTTTTGACAAACATTTGGTCTTAGGATCAGAGGAATGGCTTTTGCTGTGAATATCATAATACTTCTTATGTTTAAACCATTTCTTACAGCCTCTGAACTGACAGTGAAATATCGGAGCGCTTGAAGGCATTCCTCTGTCACTTATTTGATTCATTGGTTTATTAGATGCCATAGTCTTTGCCACAACTGTTGGACTCATGAATGGCTCTCATGTTTGCGTCTCTTATGATAACTCAACACATGTTTGAGAGAAGTCTTAAACTGACAGCCCTTCTGATCGCACGTGAATTTAGGGCCCGAATGTGTGAACACGTGTCGTCTCAGAGTTGTCTGCTCTCATGTTTGCGTCTCTTATGATAACTCAACACATGTTTGAGAGAAGTCTTAAACTGACAGCCCTTCCGATCGCACGTGAATTTAGGGCCCGAATGTGTGAACACGTGTCGTCTCAGAGTTGTCTTATCCTTAAACCGTTTCCCACATTCAGGCCAATCGCATGCGTGCGGCCTATCCGTGCTGTGAGTACTTCTATGGTTTCTTAGCCTCGCGTTATCATTAGACCGATACGGACAGCCCGGCCACTCACACCTATACGGCTTTTCGGAGCTATGAATAAGAGTATGCTTTCGCATTACGGACCCATATTTGGTGGTGTAGTCACATCCGGGCCAATGACACGTCAGGTCAGTCCCATAGTGAACGAGTCGTTTGTGGTGTAACATAATAGGTCTGGTTCTGAAACTCCGATCACATCCCGGTTCCGGACATTTGTATTGATCCGCGCGATTCGTGTGAATCTGTTTGTGAGCAGTCATGAGGTAATTGAATGCAAACCTCTTATGACATCCCATGTAATCGCAAACAAATGGCATATGTTTTGCGTGAACCACTTGGACGTGATATTTGAGGGCCTTTTTATGCGCAAACCGTTGACCACAAGACTCGTGAGTACAGGCATGGGGTTTGAGTCCATTATGTCTGTTCACATGACAGTTTAAATTGGCTTTGTTTGTGAACCTCTCATCACATCCATCGACAGTACATTTGAATGGTTTGGTGATAGAGTGGGTCAACAGGTGTTGAGTGTATGAACATCGACTAGACATCACTTTACCACATCCAGTGACTTCGCATTTATAACATTGATAATTATTAGATTTATATGATTTCTGGCCACTACTCGGTTCATTCAAATTCATTTCAGTTGACATCTTATTAGTGTGTCTATCGGTTCCCAAGGTATGCCTGCATTTGTGATTTTTGCGCCATTGCTTATCAATAAACCTTTGCCCACAGGACTGGCATTCATATGGTTTAACGCCGTTATGTCTATTCATATGTGAATCCATTCGACATTTGTTATCAGTTGTGAATCTGTTTGTGAGCAGTCATGAGGTAATTGAATGCAAACCTCTTATGACATCCCATGTAATCGCAAACAAATGGCATATGTTTTGCGTGAACCACTTGGACGTGATATTTGAGGGCCTTTTTTTGCGCAAACCGTTGACCACAAGACTCATGAGTACAGGCATAGGGTTTGAGTCCATTATGTCTGTTCACATGACAGTTTAAATTGGCTTTGTTTGTGAACCTCTCATCACATCCATCAACAGTACATTTGAATGGTTTGGTGATAGAGTGGGTCAACAGGTGTTGGGTGTATGAACATCGACTAGACATCACTTTACCACATCCAGTGACTTCGCATTTATAACATTGATAATTATTAGATTTATATGATTTCTGGCCACCACTCGGTTCATTCAACTTCACTTCAGTTGACATCCTATTAATGTGTCTATCGGTTGCCAACCATACGGACGTAAACACTAAAAACGCGGTAACGAATAGTTATTTGGAAACGGGTGTCCTGACCGTAAGTATACCAAATTGCGGCAATACAGATAAGTATACACTTAGGTAAGCTGTAAACAATAGTCTGTTATAATCACATCCATTGACCACACATTTAAGATGATTACGTTTGGACACCTCATGCACTCTCTGGTGTTTAGCAAATGATGACAAACATCCCAAAACTTTGCCGCAACCAATGAATTCACATTTCAATGGCTTTAATCGCTTTCGTAAGTGAATTCGAGTGATGTGTTGCTTCACACCATCGAAAGACATGAATATGACATCACATGTGCTGTAATGGCATTCGTAGAGATGTGTGCTTTTGTGGACACTTCTCATGTGCTCCACAAACGATGTCTTATCCGTCGGTATGTGATGGCAATCATCGGCCAAACACTTGTCATTCATGTGTCGCATTAGTGTCTTCGGTTTGTACAGAAGGGCATCGTTTGCGACCAATAACTCATCGACTCTTGATGGGTCTGATAGTGGTCATAAACCTGGACAAAACTCTCAAACACTTGATGATTAACTAACCTACTATCGTAACGAGAGTATTTAGAATTCTTACGGTAGTGATCTTAGCCCAAAGTAACCATAAACGCTTACAATTGGTGATACTTCAGGCAAATCAACCACTGCTTCACTGATTGTTTGGCTTTTATTCACATTAGTGTCCACTCTGTCCACAACTTTCACTTCATAGTTGTGTTCACTCTTCATGTGTACCCTAAATCCAGTCAATCCAATGAATACTCGCTTACAAAACATACATTTATAGCTCACTTCCGTTGACACAACTGTTGGACTCAACGGAAGACTCGTTTTATTTGTCGGCAAAACTTGCGATACTTTTTGACTACTTTTTGGTGTTATTTTTGTTAACTTCGGTCTCTTTATACCATTGTAACTCTGTTATAACCGTAGTGAAGAACCTTAGTTAAGTGATAAACAAAGTAAATTAGGAGCTAATCAAACACTTCACTATTGACGAACGGAATACAGGCGAAGTCTCCTTACCCAAAAGTACACTAAATCAAATGACTTTTATGAGTGTTTGGTAAAAAGCGTTGGTAACTTGAGTGTCAATTTATAGCAGTGTCTTTACCAAGGGTATAATAGTGAGTAAACTAGGTTAACACCTAATGTACGGTATCTGAAGTTGTGTTGATTACCAAGAATCAATTGAGAGGTTCTTTGTCGTTGGTTTCCAACCATTGGTTCCCTATTAATGGATATATTATTTCCAATGATATTATCCATTGTCTCGTCATCGGAGGATATAATGATCTCTTCATTCGTGTCATTCCGTACTTCTCTGACATCTTGTGGTATGTCTTGACTCTTGAGTTGATTGTAGTTATGATTGAATGTATGAATGGTTTGTATTAAGTGTTGATTTTCATCGCATTTACAGTTTTGTATCAAAACTAATGCATTGTTTCTAATGTTATCCAAAATACACTCCTATCAGTGCACTCGTGAGGGTTGTGTCCAACGATTTAACAGCAATTACAGACTTTGGGATCACATGCGTAATGATCACAGAATTTGTGCCAAAGTTGGCGTAAACACGAAAACTGTGCCCAAATTTATTTGCCTTTTGAAAGACTGTGAGAAACGATTTGAGACGAAAGAGTTGTTTATAACTCACGTCAATAGCCATTCCTCAGGAAATTTTGGCTCTAAATGTTTGTCAAGACTGCATTTTTATGACAACCAATAGGAATGACCTGATCGGACACATGATTGCCACACATTCAATGAGTCCATTTCTTTGTGGTTTTACTTTTTGTGGACAACTGTTTGCCACTAAAGATGAACTCGAAATACACGCGAAGACACATCGAATGGGTGATAATTCAAGAAATAGCGATAAAACGACAAATAATACAAATAAAACTGTTTATGAAAGTCATTGAACGCGAGAACAATTGAAATGTTCAATAAAATGCTGTCAATTGATGTGTGCCAAGCGGGACACGATGGACGCCCACATGAACGTACACAGCGGTGTCAACCCCTATCAGTGCACTCATGAGGGTTGTGTCCAGCGTTTTACCAGCAATTACAAGCGTTGGGAACACATATGTGCTGATCACAGTATATACAGTTGCCTTTTTCCCGATTGCAATAAACAGTTCCCAAATGAACTACAATTAACTGAACACAAAAGATGTCATAAAAATCAAAACCGTATGAAATGTACAGTCAATGGATGCGATTATGAATGTCGGGATAAATATCAATTAGAAGCCCATATTAATAAACACAACGGCGTCTGACCCTATAAGTGCACTCAACCGGGTTGTGGTAAACTGTTTTGCGGCAGAAAAGTGCTGAAGAGCCATACCCTAAGCCATATCACGTCCCCTGAGACACGCGTTTGTGATTATATCGGTTGTGGTAAAGAGTTTTCTAATAGACATCTGTTAATTAGACACCAAAAGAAGCGCAGAAATACACATAAAATCAAATGTAATGTCAGTGGATGTGAGTACAAGTCTCAGCATAAATCCCAAATGGAGGCCCATATGAATAGACATAAAGGTGTCCGACCCTATCAGTGCCCTCACGAGTGGTGTGGTAAATGGTATGGCAGTAAAGATGTTCTGTATGCGCACACCCGTGATGTTCACTCGGCAAACGAGCCATGCGTTTGCGATTATAGCGGATGTAATAAAGTGTTTAATACTCCAAACCTCTTGAGGCAACACAAAGTCACTCATACGAGTGTCAGCAGAAAACACAAGTGTCCGGAACCGGGATGTGGGGCGGCCTACAGGACCATTGGAACTCTGAGTCATCATAAGCTATCTCAGCATTCGGGTCGAGTGTTGACCTGTCAGTGGACCGGCTGTGAGTTCACGACCCGATATACGAGTCAATTACGGAGGCATCGATTCAAGCATAGCGGCGGTGAACCGGCGAAGTATGTGTGCGAATGGCCCGGATGTCAGTTCAAGACACCGATTAAAGTTAATTTGGATAACCATAGAACCACTCACACCGACATTCGGGCGCATGTATGCGATTGGTCTGATTGTGACAAAGCGTTTAAGACCGCACACGGTCTCAGACAGCATATGATTACCCACTCGTCGGTGATGTTGAGCTGCGATCGGAAGGGCTGTCCGTTTCAGACGAAAGACAAACAGACGTTAAGGAAACATAAGAAGAGCCGACATAATGACGATAATTGAATGGATTTGTTAGCATTTATGAGATGTAATTATTGTACAGTTTTTAATAGATGCACATAAAATGAATGAGTGGGATGTCATATATTCCTACTTTAGGTGTCCCAGACAGTCCAAGGTCGGCAGTAAGAAGTGGATAAGTTGTCTGAATGTCGATAATTGCTTTATAATATTGGATTAAACAGTTTTTATATTTAACTTTAAACACTTCCTGTATTAAATTTATATGTTATTTCTAATAAATATAATTCAAATTAAAAAATATATTAAAAATAAGTTTTTGACAATTAATGACAAAGTTTATGTAAAATCTGTGCAAAACGTCTCGTAAACCCTTATAAGGAATACAAGAATTGCTTACCAATAGTGAAAGAATACTGTATTATGTCTCGCACTTACAGTACTGTATATTCTCATGACTCATGAGTCACATTAATTATAAATAGATTTATCGTATATATTAAATATATAATAAACTCTCACTGGTTATTTAACTCATTTATTTCAAAACAACACAATTATAAACATATTTTGTGCGACGAATGCCTGGTATTGATAGGAGTCGAGTGGTCGGTGTATC